TACACATACACGCACATAAATATATATTAATAATAATAAACCAATTTAAAATAGTAAGATTCAGGGGCTGGGGATTTAGCTCAGCAGTCCGGTGGCCTGCCTTGCAAGGGCAAGGACCCGAGTTCGATCGCCGGTACCAGAAAAATAAATAAATAAAATAGTAAGATTCAAGCTCAAAGCAAGAATAAGTCTCTAGGAAGAGAAATGGACTAGGAGTCAGAACTATGCTCCAGTCCTCTCATCATTAACTATTCACATATCATTTCTATTAATGCTTCTGAGGTTGTGTCCTTGCCTACAAGAGTTAAACTACTATCTAAGACAAAGTCCAGCTGTAAAAGTCACTTACCTCTTTATTTGGTCTTGCAGTCCTACACATTCTGACCTCAAATGGCGGACTTGCTTAACTGATAATCTGCAAGAAAATGTATAAACAACTGTGATCCCGTTACGGTGACCTAGTATAGCCCACTTTGGTATTCGTCCTCCACAGACACACACTCAGGCCTTATGGGGACAGGTATGGCAGTGCATGCCCAGGATGTCACACTCTAGGCAGGTGAGGCAGCAAGGACTAGAGTTCCAGCCCAGCCTGGGCAATTTTGCAACTAGGGAGACCCTGCTCAAGCTGTAAAATATTTTTAAAGGACCGGGGATGTAGCTTAGTGCAAAGGTCTTGTAGTCAATCCTCAGAACCACAGAAAAATAAATACAAATAATAATTTCAGTTTAGCTGTTCTGTTGTATTGGTTTGTTGGTTTGTTTGTGAAAAAGGGTCTCACTACATGGTCCAGCTCGGCCTCAAATTCATAATCTTCCTACCTCAGCCTCTGGAGTGCTGGAACCATAAGCATTCTCCACCATGCTCAGTAATATTTCAATTTTAAGGTAATTTCAAAGGATTCTATACCTTGAGTAACATAAAAAAATAAAAAAAAAATCACTGAAAAAGTTCTTACTTTTATAATTGTAAAAACTTAGATACTGCCTATTCTTTGAGAATAACCTTGCCTGTCTTATTTAATCTTATGACACCAACATATGGTATACAAAAGGAACCCCTCCAAAATATTTGATAAGCCAGGAGAGGTGGCACACGCCTATACTCTGGAGGCTGAGTCAGGAGGATCGCTCCAAGTTCCAGCCTGGGTACACAGTGAGTTCAAGGTCAGCTAGAAATACACAGCAAATCCTTATCTCCAAAAAAAAAATTTGTGGAATAGATTAATATAAACATAAAATACAAAGCCGGGCGTGGTGGCGCACGCCTGTAATCCCAGCACTCTGGAGGCTGAGGCAGGAGGATCACTGTGAGTTCAAGGCCAGCCTGGGCTACATAGTGAGTTCCAGGTCAATCTCAACTACATAGCGAGATCCGGTCTCAAAAAACCAAAAAATTAATTAATTAATTTAATTTAATTAAATAGTAAAGTATGCAATAACTAGTTGAAAAAGTATGTGTTTAATGAAATACCCAATGTACTATTAAAATAAAAATAAATATACAAATGGTAATACAAAAAATTTACAGAATAAAATTTCATGACAAAAAGGATACAAAATATGATCACAATTACAGCTTAAAAATGCACTTCCTAAACAAGGAAAAGCACATAAAAACATGAACTTTCTGAACTAATTTCCTCTGAACTATCAGTAACAATATACCTAAACTTTTAAAGATTATATTCAGAAGTTATCAGGCTTTAAAATGCAAAAATGACAGCCAATGTTTTGAAGTAGCCATAGACTATTTCTGCTGAAGTTACATTGATGATGACATTTTTCAAAAAGAAAGGAATATTTTTGTAACTTACTGTGCATTTTCCTGATATCTTTGGATAACATAATCTTGTCTTTGTAAAATCTGAAAAAATCTGTTACGTGCTATATGACATCTGGCAAGGCACTTGTGCATATCTTGTGTCTTTGCATTAAATGTTTCTGTAAAATGTAGAGAAGAATCTGCACGGACAAGATTACAGAAAATAATTTATAAGTAAGTATCAAACATGTTTAATGTTAACCACGTACAGCGAAGCACACTCTAGGTCTAGCACTCAGAAGGCTAAGGCCAGAGGGCTATTTAAGTCAGAGTTCAAAGCCAGACTACGAAACATACAGAGACTCCCACCTCCAAAAAATTTAAAAGACTGAATTTTAAGAAACTAAGATTGAATTTTAATTACAGTTCCTTTTAAGGAATAGTTGTAGCTACATGTAATTGCAGTAGTTTATCTATTAATTTTTTCAACTGCCAAAATGCTTATGGTACATTAAGTTTAAAATACAATAAAAAAACATAAATGTTTATAAAGAAGGGTCACATACATGTTTTCAAAAATCAGGCAAAGAAGATAAACTTGGAAAAATGTTTGTATGCCCCATTACAAAGAAGAGACAAAAAATAACAGCTTCCATGGGCCAGGGATTTAGCTGAGTGGTTCTGCCACCTGCCTCACAAGTGCAAGCTCCCGAGTTCGACCCCCAGTACCAAAAAAAAAAAAAAAAACCTAGCTTCCATTAATAAAATTTAAAAAAGAGATAAGAGAGTAACTTAAGAGAAAGGTGGAAAAAGGACATGAGCATAGAGTATAAAACAATACAAACTGCCCTTAAACATGAAGCAATTTCCAACTTTACTAATTAATCATAAAAGAAATACAAATTAAAACTGTATCTAAAAAAGGTTTATAGTGTTTTTTGAAAAAATACACTAAATGCAATACAGAACCAGGAACAGAAAAATAATCGAACTGGGAAACTAAACCAGGCATGGTGGGACATTTCTGTAATCTCAGCACTTGGGAGGTTGAGGCAGCAGGATTGCCCTGAGTGTGAGTCCAGTCTGGACTACATGTTAAGTACAAAGCCAGTCTGAACTACAAAGCAAACATTTCTCAAAGAAAATGTTTTTTTAATTTGCACAGTAGTATTGTTTTTATAGCAAAACATCAGGGGAAAAAGTCAAATGTCTAACAGTGGAAGACTGATGAAACAAATTATGAAAGACTTATTGAGTACAATATTAAGCAGTTCTAAAGAAAGAGAAGTGAGAATCAGAAAGCTCCATGAACTGATATGAGATGAACTCCAAGATATACTATTAACTTCCAAGTTCCAAAACTCGATTTACATTTCAATTGTGATGCTCTTAAAAAGAAATGAGTCAGGCATGATGGTGCACACCTGTAAACCTAGCTACCCGGAGAGCTGAGAAAGAGGATCACGAGTTCAAGACCTGCCTGGGCACCTCAGTGCTTTGTGAGAACCTTCACAAGGGCTGGGGAAGCAGCTCCATGCTCCTGGGCTCAATCCCCAGTACCACAAAAAAAGAATATATTAAAAAAAAAAAAGAAAAAGAAAGAATACATCAAATTTGCTCATATGATGGATTACGCTACTGCTTCTATAAAGGAAAGAACACAGGCAGCAGAGGTGGAAGTCAGACTGCTCATGTTTTGAGTGAGTTTTGGTCCAAGAGAAATGTACTGCATATTCATAAATGGCTGAGGTGTAGCTAGGTGGTGGAAAGCTTGCCTAACATTTTCTAGGCCCTTGGTTTGACCCCAGCACAGCAATAAATACACACATGCATAAACATATAATATGCATTAAAAAAATATTAACGGGGACCAGGGATTTAGTTCAGTGGCACTGTGTCTGCCTCCCAAGCGCAAGGTCCTGAGTTTAACCCCAGGGTACCCCCCCAAAAAAAGGTAGTTTCAGAAAATCAGAGGACAGATAAAAGTTAGTATCTCAATTTTCCTGCTATATTTCTTTGAATGGTTTATGAGCAAAATCCAATTAAACAGAGAAGCATACTTAATAAACTAGAAACAGCATTCTTTTAAGTATTACCTGTAAAAACCCAACTATTTTGTTTCTATAAACTAGTAAATAAATCAAACCCCTTGGAAGACAGAAATTTCCAACACAATGCCAATAAAATCAAAACCAAAATAAATTTCTAACAATTTGACACAACATTTAACATACTGCATGAGAGGTCAAATATAATCTAAACCCCACACGCAGTGGCAAATGCCTATAATCCCAGCACTCAGGAGGCTGAGACATGAGGCCAGCCTGAACCATGTACTGAGACCCTCTCTCTTAAAAAAAGAAAGAAAAAAATTATATATATTTTTTTTATATATAAAAAACCAGCCGTCTTGAGTAAGCCAATGACTGGATTTCTGAGGTCAGCAAGGTAAGAATGGCTTCTGCATTTTTAAAGCATTGTAAAAACAAAGAGAACTACGCAACTGACAAAATATTTTATTTCTAGTGTTCTATGAAAAGTATGTCTAATAGCTATTCTAGAACATAAAATAACAAATAGTAATAGGTTGTCAGAAGATTTCAAACTATAGTTCTAGTAAAATACTATTTGATTTTTGAGGTAAATTAATGTTTTAATATATCTAGCTTCTAAATCTTGGAAACAGCCCAAACGTCCATCAACTGACGAATGGATAAAGATGTGGTTTTTTTATACAATGGTGTACTATTCTGCCATAAAGGATAAGCTTCAGACATTTATAGCTAAATGAATGCACCTTGAGACCACTCTTAAGTGAAATAAATCAGAAGGGAGGGAGGGAGAGAGGGAGGAATAGGGGGAAAAAATGAAAATAGAAATAAAAAATGGTGGGCCGGGAATTTAGCTCAGTGGTGCCTCCACTTGCCTCTCAAACACAAGGTCCCAAGTTCAATCCCCAGTACAAAAACAAAAAAACAAAAAAAAACAAAGTTTTTGTGCATAGGGAAGGGAGGAGAGAATGGGAAAAAAGAGGCAGGATGTATCACATACAGGTGCAAATTCCCTAAGATGAGTGTCATCATTATGTGTGCCTAAATGTACCAACAAATGTTTTGCTATTAAAAATTTAATATAGCTAGCGACATTTAAAATCTCTTATTTTTAAAATCATGAAAAACAATAACAATAAAGAATCAACATTAAGTTCTACTATAAGCTTTACTTACTTTTGGAATTGACTTTAATGTATTTAATTGCAACAAATCTTGCAAAATGATACATCAGATGAATAAACTTTGGACCGCCAGGAGAAAGAAACAGCGAGCCAACAACTTGAGGAAAGCTACCTCCACATTCAGCCTAAGGAGAAAGAGATACGGTGATGTGGAAACCTTACCAGCAGCAATTCTCACGCTTACACTGCATCACGCCCTTTTCACAAGCTGTAGCAATCGAGCAGTAGCACCTCACTGCAGGGCAGCAACCACATGACCATCAGCATACCCTCCTCATGGCACAATGGCTCGGATATGTTTGATTCCACTGCAGGGTGGAAAGGCAAGAGCGGGCATAGCCTCGGCCAGCCACCACTCCCAGTCTGCTCCCTCCTCACATCAGACTATTCAAGCATAAAGTGACCGATCAAAATTATTTCATCTGGCTGGCCATGGAGGCAAATGCCAGCAATCCCAGCTACTGAGGTTGAGAGGAGCATCACAAGTTTAAGTTTCACTTGAGCAACTTAACAAGACCGCAAAACAAAATAAAATAAAATGGTGGAGATGTAGTTCAGCTCTCCCTGGATTCAATCCTCAGTACTATTTAACATGTTCACGATGAGGCTATACAAGCATGATTGTCCCATGGCACCCAAAGGGACAGACGTGTGTACCATGTGTGGCTCAAGTCACCCAATCGGACAGTCACACATGTACCATCAGTGGTTCAAGCTGGCAGGAATGTTTAAAAAAAAATTAAAAATAAAAAAAATGAACACACACACACACACACACACACACACACACACACACACACACATATCTGTTTGAACCATGCTACACTTGATCTTAGCCAAAAGGCCGAGAAGCGATGAACCAGAGATGAATTGTTTGGTTTTTCTAAATTTTAAATGAGGGCCGGGGATTTAGCTCCGTGGTTCCACCTCCTGCCTTGCAAGCGCAAGTACCCAAGTTCAATCCCCAATACCACCAAAAAAAAGAACTAAACTAAATTTTAAGTGAAATCAGTCAAAATAGATAATCATAATAATAAAGCCACAACTACTGATACTGCTGAGGGAAGCAAGCTGAAATAGTCTATGATCAAAAAGTATTCTTTAGCCAGGCACGGTGGTCATGCCTGTAATCTCAGCTATGCAAGAGGCAGATGCAAGATTATAAATTCGAGCCAATCCTAGGCAATTTAGCAAGACTCGGTCTCAAAAAATTAAAAGAGTCGGAAATGTAGCTTTGCGATGAAGCACCCTTGAGTTCAATCCCAATCCTAGTATTTATTTTTTAAAAAGGTATTCTTTAAACAAAAACTGAAACTATGTCCCATGCACACAGACAGCAAAACTAGTTTCTTAGAAACACAGAATCACATACCAAAACCACTAAAAAAATGTTACAGTAATTACTTTTTCCTTGCATATTGTTAGCATAAAAGCATTAAAAGACTTTACTTTTAAAAATAAATGTAGTTTTTAACCTTTTTTTTTCTTTTGGTACCGGGGATTGAACTCAGGACCTTGTGCCTGCCAGGCCCGCAGTGGCACCACTGAGCTAAATCCCCAGCCCAGTTTTTAACTTCTTAAAGTCTGCATCTTTCAAACACAGAATACCTACAGAAATCTTTTTTAACCATTCACAGCAGTGTTTCCGGAATTCAGTGTCCCTTTTTTGGTCCAATGGAGGCCAGCAAAACCTTAAAAACAAAAATAAAAGCATTAGATGGACCAAAACATTCCAACTCAGCAAAATTAAAAAGAACATGAAGTTTATTTCCTATACCAGAAATAGTAAAAGCACAGTGAATTAAAGTTAGCATTCTAACACTACAGCTGAAGACATCAAATCTGAAAAACTGGGTCTTTATATGTATCTGTACAGCTGAGTCCAGTTTAGTGCAAATTAACTAGAGTATATAAACTCAATGGGAAAAGAAACAGCTATTGAAATTATGAAAACTAAATAAAGAAAACTTTCAATGGATCACCAGACAAACACATAGAGATGGCATACAGTAAGCCTGGAAAAAAAAAAAAAAAAAAAGAATTTTGTAGGAGAAAAGTACAAATGAATATACATGATAAGCACAGAAAGAGCACATGATAGTACGGCTCTTACAGAAAATCTATTATCATGGTCTATGGGTGTTTGTGACTAAAAACATGAAAAGGAAAAGTTCTGCTTCAGCTCTAGTCAAAAATACTAGACTTGGGGCCAGGGATTTAGCTTAGTGGTTCCACCACCTGGCTTGCAAGCATAAGGTCCCGAGTTCGATCCCCAGTAGCAAAAAAAAAAGACTAGACTTCAAATCCTAACAAGGTTTCATCCACATTTTTGGCTTTGTTTTGTTTTGTTTAGTTTGGTTTGGTCTGGTCTGGTTTGGTTTTTTGAGACAGGGTCTCATTATGTAGTTGAGACTGAACAGGAACTCACTATGCAGCCCAGGCTGGTCTCAAATTCACAGCGATCCTCCTGCCTCAGCCTCCCAAGTGCTGGGATTACAGGCCTGCACCACCACACCCGGCTCATACACATTTTTGAGGCATAATTATTTGTTTAAAATATTCTTTTTACATTTCTATAATGTGTTTCATATTCTCAGAAGAAATATACACAGGAAAAAAATACTAAAAGGCTAGAATATCAACAGCAATATTCTCAGGTTGGAGTGTTGAGGAATGATTTTTACTTCCTTCTTTAAATTCTTCATATTTTCTAAAATACTTAAAATGAGCCATAATGTGACATTTGAAAGGGGGCCTTTTTTTTTTTTCCTTGAGACAAGGTCTCAGTATGTAGTCTAGGCTGACCTTGAACTTAGGGTCTTCCTTTATGCTGAGACTTCAGAGGTGCAACATCACAGCCATTTTACCAGTAGAAAATATCAGAAAGTCTATTTTTATTTAGACAGAAGAAGTCCTGTATTTTAACATTAGGGATTTCAAAAACTGTTTCAAATACACGTGCTGTCCTGGGCACCTATAACTTTAAATGAAAACAAAACATCAAGAATAAATTATCGGCCGGGGAATTAGCTCAGCAGTTCGGTGGCCTGCCTTGCAAGTGCAAGGACCCGAGTTCAATCCCCGGTACCAAAAAAAAAAAAGAATAAATTATCAAGAATTAATAGATTTGTTGCTTTTCTATATAAAGTCTGTTGGCACAATAAAAGTATCAAAACAATTTCAACACTTTTTGAGACAGAAGAAATCCAAAATCATACTCAAAATACCTTAGAACAAAGACTAATGAGGGTTCACATTTTTATCTTCCTGAACTTTTTTTTTTTTTTAATTGAGTTTTTTGGTACATTTAGGGATACAGTACAGTTACATTCATTGTTGGGATCATGTACCTTTACATG